AACCTGACACTGATTTCCATAATCCTTTCATGCGCATATGAGCCACTGCTCGGTTTTCCTCACTATCACCAAGAACGCCGACAATGATCTTTCCCCTATAGTCACCTAAGAAGCAATAATAAACAAGGTTTAGAATTTCGCTAAAACGATTGAGGTCGTGTCCGTACTTTCCGCTACGGATCCCTAGCAAAAAGTTATTTCATACTCTGTACATTGTGAATTTACTGTAATTTGCATCTGGGATTGAAACACGGTACTTGAATCGTTTATGTTCGGAAGATAAAGGTACGGAGGCAATCAAATTGGCCCAACTCCATAACATCGTGGTTTAAGGAAATTCCATCAGAAAGTTACAAGGAAACTTTTCCATTAGTTTTTTATGGCTTTCAGGCGACAATTGCAAACTATCAAGTTCGTGGAATGCTCGAAAGGAGCTTTTGAGGGTTCTAATTAGTTCATCGCATGACGTTTTTTATTTGCATACCAGGTATTGGACCGAATACCAAGGTTCAACTGACCAACAACGAAATCGTCGTTTTGTCTGAGGAGAGCTTCCGCCCGATGTTGGACATCCTCTCTACAGGAGATGGAGTCCTCTATCTAGACGGTGAGTTTCACGGTTTCTTACCATTGCAGATTATGTTGGGTTTCTTCCTCGCTTTGTTCATCTGCGTAATTGCATTTTGTCTCCTGTTTCTATTCCAGGCAATCCTATCCGATGCGATTGTGACGTAGCATGGCTGGTTCTGAATCCGAAATTTCTGAAGAGCATTTCTGGGGAGTGCCAAAATGGAACCAAATTCAAGGATTTAAATGCATTAATTATGAAAGACTGTGATGGTCAATCGAGCTCATCAACACCCACAAATCAAGGTGATGTCTCCAGTTGCTCGCATTCTTTCACTATATGGTGCCTGTATGGTATCCCAACGTTTTGTTTTATGCCACGCCAGGGATGAAAAGGAATGGTCGGACTTTTTAGCATTTTTTGTGGCATTTTTTGGAGAGTAAAGAGTTAAAGCTGAAGTGTGATTCTGAGATATGGGAGAGTGTCTACTCTCCCTTCAAATTTGCCGGCTTTGAAAAGAACGGAAGAGAAAACCTGTCCTTAGAATTCCTGTTATTATAAACACTGGACAAAGGAATGGAGATTGGGTAGCTGCGGGAATATGGTCATGGGGCGAATGTCATATATATTCGCTTCATTTACCACTAAAGCATATCAAGCATGTAATTACATTGCAATTTTGCCTCTTTTAATGGTGTTTACTACATCAAAAGAGAATTTGGCTCCAAGATACCCCGTACTCTAGATACCCTAGTACAATATACATTGAAAAAGGTTACTTCTTCCATTTAATTTGATATTCGTGGTATGTTTGTTGCCTTGGACTGGCCTTGCTACTTTCAGGAAAGAAGCTACACGACCTGATGCCGTCTTTCTGGTCGGTCAAGCGAAGTAGAATTCAAAGAGTAGTCCGTTTTCGAGTTTCATGGATGTCTATGGGCGATTTCATATCAGTCAGCCGAGTTTTTTCCTTGACCCACTTCGATGTCAATGTGATTTCGGCATGCTAATTAGTACCCAAGGAGAAAAGAAACCAAAACAGCTTTCTGTTCAATACATTTTGTATTTTGAAAATTAGAGCCAATGAAAAATTTAGCGATTTTGGGCCAATTTGATCCAGGAGTCACAACAATTGTCAATAATAAGTCCGTTATTATTGAAGGCAAAAACGTGAATATGATATTGGTGGATATATTATAATACCCCCAATGAGATGATTTGTAACACACGCTGGTAAATGCGATGACCTTGGCCTACCTCCAGCATGAAATGAATGAAAAATCATGCAGATTCAATTCATCGGAACATCAGGCAAAATCCGAAACTTTTTACGAGTCGAATTTACTAGATGCATTCCTTGTAGCTACGGTCAGAAACAGGTACTCGCTATCGTTTTCCTACAGCAGGCGGAATGATCGGATGCGGACAACTCAGCAGCATTAAAAATGGATCCTTTACTATCGATTCTTGTGCCAGCCCATCGGAAGAGACTGCCGAAAGAAACAATGCAAATTGCATTCAAAATGGAAACTATGCAGTTTGGAGCATCGTTAGATACAGATGCGATAAATATTATGAACTGCAGGGACCGGAATTCAGAAAATGTGAGGAAGATGGAGAATGGACCGGACCCACCCCGTTTTGTCAGCCAGGTCGGTTTCTTTTGTCACCACATTTCTTGTTTTTCAGACACATCACTGCTATTTCGAATGCCTGTGATTTATACCGTCCTATACGCAGTATGCGGGAAGAAGGAAAGTCAAATTCAACTATCAGCAGGAGGAAACCCATCTAAAATCGGAGAATGGCCATGGCAAGCGGCCATTTATGACCTCACGAAGAAAGATGTCATTTGTGGAGGGGCTCTTATTAGGGAAGAATGGGTGCTAACAGCGGCCCATTGTGTCCTTGTATCAAGTTCCATCCGAACTCGAAATGTTACTGAAATTTCGGTCCACCTAGGGAAACACAATCGACACGATCTCAGTGACGAGTACATGCAGATCCAACAGGTTCAGTGATCCTCACGTTCTTGTACTTATATCGACTCTATTCCTCGTGACGAAAACTGACACGATCTCCTTGCAGGTGTCCCATATAATCTTGCACAAGGACTTCAACCTATATAATAACTATGACTCGGATATTGCTTTATTGAAATTAGCAAGACCTGCCGTGCTGACTGCACGAGTTCAGTTGGTATGTCTCCCTATCCGATTTGATTTATCTGAGGTCAACCTCGACAGCGGAGGGAATGGATGGGTAAGAAACACGAAACATCTTAACACATTGAGGACCGGATGAATACATGCTATTATAGTTATCGGTCATACGCAAAAAACGATTAAACATGTGATCCGTCTTCAATGTGTTAATACCTCGACCTAAAACTACTTTCAATGTTCACATTGCAACCTCTCTTCTTCGATTGTTTGATGATGCAGGTGGCCGGTTGGGGTTATGACAGTTTGGATAACCTCACAGCTGTCCTGACGGAGATTCAACTCCCGGTGATATCCAATCGCAAATGTGCTCTGGAAACCCGTAATTTCACGAGAGACCAGGGCGTAACTCGTTCCCTCACCTCAAATATGTTCTGCGCTGGTTTTTCTGTGAATACTACTCTCGAAGGTATGGCCTCAAGATATGTGTGTTAAATTCGCATGAATGCATTCTGAGATTGTCAATTGAGCTCCTCCCAATTCCACATGCAAGCCATGTGCTTTGTAAATACCCTTGCATGTTAGTGGACACGCGTGTGGAACTTATGCTCGCGTGCATCCGCCTACTTGCCCCAGCATTGAAGCCAAGGATGCATGACATGGTAGTGTGAATCGCCGCAACCCAGTCAAAAATTTATATTCGAGTCATCGATGGCTTTTCGTCGACGCGTACATAAGCCATCACTGGTATATGGTTTGCTCATGGTGGTTTAAACTGTTTTATATTCGGGCACGCCCTGTTGGCCCTTCATTTGGCCAATTTTGGCTCATTGTACACGCCCCAACCCTCGACCGACTTGTAGGCGGCTCCGACGTGATTTAACGTTAATGATCATCACGAGAAGATCGCCAGCGTGTTCGAGGTTTATGACTCCGTAGACTCCTTACATATACAATTACTTTATTGTGACAACCAGCTTGGAAAGAGGTTAATAATACGAAGAACAACAAAATGGTTATGGGATACAAACTCAAAATTCTGTTCCCTTAAGTTGTTATTAGGCAATAGATACTCAACGAACAATACCTGAATATGGACCAAAGTGGGGATGGGTGAGGCGACAGACAGCATACGATCTCCAGCACTAACGTCAAGGGTCCACTCAATATCCCGCGTCTTCTCTCAGGCTTCTCCTCACTATCCTCCAATTCAACTTCTCGTCCGACTCACTCACTTGACACACCCCGACTCCGCGACTCTCCCTCGCGACCCTTTTATTCCGTTATGCCGGACATGCGCATTATCTTTTACGGTGATTTCATCATCTTTATAAGAGTACCTCCTATAGACTTTTCACAATGGTGGATAGGTATGGAGAAAAAACCGACGGTAAAGTGCATCTACTGAACTATGATTCTTGTAGAGGATGCCTCTTTTGACCCTTTACTGCTCCTTCAACTGCTAGAGATGAAGGAGCAGAACCTTACCAGAGTACCTTACACAGGTACACCCCTGTCGCCAAGTACATCCCAAGCAACACCCCTTCTGGATAATACGGCATCCAGGAGCGGAATCACATAGGAACGAAAGGGCGTCCATGATCTCACATGAGATCATACATATATTACACGTAATAGGACCTTATAATGTCGGTATGCGGGGAAAATATCCATACAATCGCGCAGCCTATTGTGGAAAGTAGAAGGATCCACCAACGGACCTCCGGACTGGAATTTCCTGGTTTATTACAAGGCTATGTTTCATCTTAGAGAAGTGTTTCAAGCAATACAATCGTCTTCCTCAAAGATGTATATAAGAATCCATAGGGAACCGTGTCAGAGGGAGAAATGACTCATTTCATTAGAAACCGGGAAATGACTCCCCACTGAGACTACTTTGAATCCATCTCACGCTGGTTTTCGGAACCTTCTCAGCAACAGATGGGCGCATCTTCGACGAATGATTGGCCGACCAACTAACAAGTGACTCACAGTAGTATTTAAAAAAAATTAAGTTTCATAGGAGGCACACAGGATGATAACGCCACTGGTCGTGGCGTCCGTGCGATCCCAAGATAAGGCTTCAGGTTCTATCCTACTCAGATAGGATCCCGCCCCTTTCACCCTCTGGAGTTCTCCTTTGCGCGGAGGAAAACGGGACCCTAAGTGTTCTACGTCGATTTTCCCGCGTTGAAGTTCGTATCCTGGTGTGAACAGGGCAGAGGTGCGCAGGGCGTAAAATGTCTTCCTCTCCCATTTTTAAGAACGGATATCCGACAGTTGCAAAAGCCGGAGAGAAAGTGCGAGCTGGAGAGCGTGAAAGGAGCACCTTAACCCGCGGAACTGCTTCTTGGGAAATCCCGAGTTCAGTCGGGAGCCCAACAACTCAGCGTCCCTCTCACCGATATAAACAGCAGTCACTCTTTCCAGTTCTTGAGAATGACCTGCGTTAAATATCCCCGAACTTTAGGTCGGTCTAGGCCTAGAGTGTTAATTACGGGCGCACTATTTGATTTCGTCCGACCGGCAAAGTCCTCCTCAACCGTTATTTTTGGAAAAGCGTAGACTTTTTCAACCTGTTAGCTATTGAAACTTTCGTATAAGATTTGCTAATGTGGACCCAATCACTCCTGAAGGGTTCAATTCGGCCGCGAGCTTGCTCTACTTTGACATCTCTGGCCTAGGCTAAGAGTGTAACTGTCAGCGCCGCCGGAAGGAATCGTGAGGCTTGGGGCAATAATCACGTAATAGCCACCTTTCCACTCTCACCCCCCCTCCCCCCGGCTTTTAACACTATTAATTCTTAATTCCCAACAAACGCTATGCTTCTGAAAAATAGTACACGATCCTGTGTGATCGCCCCTCTCCCCAGTCAAGGAACATGGGGCAAATTGCCCCTTTTGCCCCCCCCATCTCTACGGTCCTGAGCATAGTCAGGAATTCACGACTTCAGCCAGTGGCCCCTTGAACACTCTACGCTGCAGTCGTTCTCTCCAATGTTCTCGAGGACATATCCGACGGTTGCGAAGGCTCGAAAGAAACTGGTTGCTCGAGAGCGAGACGGAGACCCCAACCTGTGGAAGACATCCATGAATTCCGGGGGGTCTGCCCAGATCTTTCCGATCCAAGGGTGAGCGCTCCTGTTCTATACAGGTGGGATCTCGCCTTTTTTACCCTAGGAAGTCGGGACAATATCAATATGAGGATGGGTTCCGATCGATAAAGGGACCGAGATTCCGATAAATATTCAATATAAGGACGGAGACCTCAACCCTGGTGAGGAAGTCATTCTTCCTCCAGCGAGATGAAAGGAGAATCCAAGTGTTACGCGCGAGGTCGTTTCACAGGTCCCTGCTGAAAAGTCCGTATCGGAGGTGTGAACACCCCCTTACTTAGAAGGAAGGGGGGAGCATGCGTAGAATGCCTCTCTCTCCCATTGTAGTGTTAGGGAGGGCATGTAGGAATTTAACTAATTGTCTTTGTTTCTGTAGTGTAATTCTAGCACATTTAACAGGTAATCTAGTGGCCCTTGGTTCTACCTCCGTCCGCTCTATGGTGTTTTTTAGTTCTCATACGTTACGCCATCCAACTATTCCCCCTTATTAGCCCTTATCCGGGCAGGGGGGGGGGGTCCGTTGGATTTGATATGGCGACATTCACCCATAGATTCAAAAACGAATTTTTAAAGTTTGGATTTGCTTTCAAGGAAAAAATTCTAAAGATGTTTAGCCTTGCTCGTTTGTGTCACAAAAATACCATGCCCGGATAAGGGTTAGGGTGAACACCCCAGTTTTGGCATGGCTGATACGACTCCCATAGGAAGTGGACACCCTGTGCGCACACCGGGAAGCACTAGTAATAGGTCCTCGTACGGAAAGATGCTGATAGAATGCTTAATAAAAGGTCAGATTAACTAATTATGCTGGATTTAAGCCTAATTGGCCAACAACTGGAGACCGGCCAGAAACCCGGGGTGCTTACCCTACATGGAATAGATCCGAAAGTCGCAACGGCAGGGGAGAAAGTGCGAGCCCGAGGGCGGGAGATGTAGCTGTTTAGTGGCTTTTAAGGAAAATTCTCGAGAGACCCTTCCCCATATAATTGAAAGTATCCATTAGCATAGAAAATTTAAGAAGAATCTCTGATTATCATGGATTCATTCTAAACTGACGCAAAACGAGCGAAGTCCGGTCTCTCAGAGTTTATTCCTGTGAAGAATCGCCCACGGGAAGCCTGGACCCAGTGGTCTCCTCTGGCATAGACAATGCATTGGGGTATCCCGTAGCGCTAGCTATACAATAGTATACGGGAGAAAGAAGGCTGGCTACACCGTTTGCATTGTGCATGAGCAGGTGCCAGTCAGCTAGAGTGAGCAAGTCTTTAACGTTCCTTTGCCTCAAGTATAGAGCTTTTCGGTCATCCAAATTCGCATAGCCTATTTCTATTTACGCATTTGCTATGAATGAAAACGAAAACAATATATAATATAAATAATTATGATATTCACTAGGTGTGTTAGTAGTGATTTTGTTGGGAAGTTGTGAAACTCGCGGGGAGAGGAAGTCGTCAGACCACTACCATTATCATAGGGCCGGATGCACCTCTACTTTCACTCAAGTGTTCAATGGATTTCCACTTAGCGTGCTTGAGTGATTTCTATACTTTAAAAACTGTTAGCATGAAACGGTTTCTCGCTATGCGACTGACCTATGCACGTATTTCATGCTTCATGCTACATTAGTATTAGTTAGTTTTTGTTCATTTTTAATATGACAAGCTGACTACAACCATAGATTTTTCGTCCACGAGCCGCCACTGGACCAGTTGCATAGATCTGTCTTCAAAGACAGACTAGGAAAAGTCTGACTTGAGCTACAGTCGCACTGCCTCTGGCTAATCCTAATATGACTTTCTCGCTGAGGATAGTAAGAATTCACGTTTTGCAAATTTGATTTTCAGCGAATGTGTAGCTTTTCCAGTTTTTTTTATGTTGCTAAAGTCGACTTCATGTTTCCGAAGAAAATTAATTTCATGGAGTCTGAGCTGCATCTCACGGACAGCGTTCGAAAACGAAAATAAGTTAACTTAATAACTTAATAATACCTCTAAATTATTGCCAACCATTTAGTTGATTTAACCATCAAGGGTGTAGCTTAGGAGAAGCAAATAACGCTTTAGAAGCTGTTAAGAAAATACAAATTCAGGAGTTTTTCATTTTACCGATTTGTTTCACGAAAATAATGTTCGAGGTATGCTGTTTTCCTGAAAGAGAAGGTGTGCTCAATCTGAAAACGGGGAGAGAATTTGCCAGTACACAAATGCCTAAATTAAATGCATAACGTTATTCGAATCGGTCTGAATATATATTTTAAATGAAGCTCTCAGATAAATAGTGTAGGTGAAGCCGAAGGGTCTGATTATGACAGGACAAAAAAGGAAGTATATTTAACACGATGTTAAACTATATTTCTCAAAGAAAAAGAAGCCTCGAACAGGGGAAGGGCAACCACTCCCAAAACAGAAAATCTTGAAAGCAGTCATGATTGCCAATGGAGAGGACAAAAGCAAACAAACAAATCTGTCACTTTGGAAATTCCTTCTCTGTCAAGTCATAATGTTCAAAATCAATAACCTGTTCCGAGGGATGAAACCTTTCCCGGAATACTCTTCTTGAAATTGCTACTTCTCTCACAAGTCGGGCATCATCAACCATTGCCACTGCTTCTCGAGAAAGCCAGATAATTGTCGTTTCAAGTCAGACTTCATTCAGTTAAGACATCCCGAAGGTGGCTTGAGGTTAGTCAGGGTCAGTGCAACCAGCTAATATTTTAGACAGGCTTCCAAAGTCAGACTTGGCATGAAAGTCTGGCTTAACTGAAGCAGTGCAACCGGCCCGTAAATACAGAGGTAGACAGAAGGCGCCGCATCTGCTGTCACACTGCTGCTAATTATGATAGGTGTTTGCATTGTATGGCATTCTTTAAAATGGCTAAACTTGAGTCAAACCCTCTTTCATATGTGAAAATATGTTCATAAGTTTTTGCAGTGATGATACTGCGAGAAGGGAAAAATCGCCCCTACGCAAACCGGGGAGATTACGTGGCGGCCAGCTCTTTCGAATCTCCAGGTTTCCTGACATGGTTTTTTCTTCTTGCCACGTTCTGGCGCAGTGTGATAAGTGATGTCTAACGTGCCTGATTGTATGGTCGCATATCCTTTTTATATGAAGAGTATAACTGCATCAATGGGCAAGTTGAGCGCGGAAGACAAGGTGTTTATCAAAGTCCTGCATCAAGAGAAAAGGTAATGGTGCCAGAAAGATTGTGAAAGAATATCCAAATCCAAATCCAAAGAATATCTTTCTTTCTTTCAAAAGAAAGACGATTTGATTCTAGTTTAGCCATTTTAAACAATGCCATACATTCCAAGCACCTAACCTAATTAGCACAAGCGTGTCATCAGATTAATAAGTATGGAACTTTTTTTGTCCACCCTGTATATATAGACAATCTTGACTGAGTGACTGACGCTAAGTCTTGCCATGTTCTAGAGATGTTATAAATCTTACATTTGGTAAACAAGTAGATATTGAGGTGTGGGTTCAGAAAAAATCCGACTCTGTAGGTATATGCAGTCGGGCGTATTTATTCAGGGGACGTTTTCACAGAATTTCGTATGCCTCAGCCAAACAGAAAGACGCAAAATGAAAATTGACACGAAAGTGCCTATTAAAGTGCTGATTTCCAGAAAAATTTATATTTTCAGATATATGCCAAGGGGTCCTTTTTTACATAATAGTAAAAAAACAGACTATTACATAATGTTGGCATAAACGAATTCCAGGAAAGTCTTAATTTCGTCACACATGCTCCCAGGGCAGATATAATTTGGTGGTTAAAAGTTCTCGGAATTTTTCGCCGCCATCCCAGAGGTATTTTTAGGGGGAGGGGGGAAGACTGAGCAAACTTGCACAATTTCGTTCAGAGAAAGCAGATTCTTACGGTCTTGGCTTTGTATCTAATATATATAGCCGATCGTGACTGACTGACTGACTGACTGACTGACTGACGCTAATTCTAACCATGTTCTAGAAGGGTTAGAAATCTGAAGATTGGTACACATGTACCTTTTGGGNCTCTTTAGGCGTCATAACTCCAGAGGAAAAAATTCAAATTAAGACTGAAATTTACTATAATGAAAACATTTCACATAAAAAATGTCCGTATAATTAAACAACAAAAAAAACACATCCGAATCGCCAAAAATCCGTTGATTAGTGAAAAATTATATTTTCAAAGTGTACGGGAACTTTTGCACGACCCTGTACATATAATTTGGTGGTTAAAAGTTCTCAGAATTTTTCGCCGCCATCCCAGAGGTATTTTTATGGGGAGGGGGGGAGAATTAGCAAACTTGCACAATTTCGTTCAGAGAAAGCAGATTCTTCCGGTCTTGGCTCTGTATTGAGAATAAACTCTAAGGTGACAATTCTGAGAAAATGAAGAATCTCTGCTTGATTCATGTTCTTAACATCAGGTTGGAAATCACTTCACACAAGGAGGAGTAGCTTAAACCCGCAATAAAAATTATAATGATCCAAGGTGTGTTTTACCCAATTTGCACTCATGAGAATCGAAATGGGATGCTTCAATGGTACGAATAATTATTATATTTTACGGTATCCATAGCACCGAAGGCGCGCTCATAGCGAGTTTGCTTGCCCGAAGGGCAAACAAATTCGCTAGTATTACATACATAGATACTTCCCTAATAATTTATTTTGGTAATAAATGATGAGAATAGCAATAATCAAGATGATTCTTACTGCACAGGTTTTGGAACAGTGTGTCCTGGGGACTCTGGGAGTCCCATGGTCTTCCTCTCCAATACATCACTAGACAGCCACTGGACAATGGAAGGGATCGTGAGCCACTTCTTACAGAAAGGTTCTTGTTCGATGAGGAGCCCTGGCCAGTATAGCATTTTCACCAGAGTTAATAGGTGAGATCAGGTCAATCCAACCCAATTATATAATTTGCATCCCTTTCCTCCTATTTCATAAAAAATGTCGGGTTTCTCGTTCTTCCCTTTAGGTTCATGCAGTGGATCAACCAGGTAATACATAGAGGCTTCTGACAAATCATAATTGATTCAACAATATGCAAAAATTTCGCCAACTGAAAGTGAAATAAATTTGTTATTTGTCTATTTGTCTGCATTTTTCCCAATTTACACACATACACATGAGCGCAAATTTTTCTTGCATCCACGCATACACATATGCATGCCTTCAATCACACCAAGCATCTCAGTCATGAGACTCGTTAAACCAATTGGTTTGCTGACTGTGGTATTTACAGACTGACTCAAGCTGGGATTGCTTCTGCCTTGATATTGCCTTATCTTTTGATTCCCAGAACTTCGGGAAGTAACACGGCGACCTACCAACGTCGATTTCATGGATGTTTGGTAGATACAGAGTTAGAAATACACCTGTTGCACCTAACAGCTTAAACGAAAGCTTATAGAGTTCGTTACCTCGGACTTGCGGCCTATCATGCCTCTGGCTGCAGCTTGATTTTTCCATGATTGGCTCTTTCCCTGTCCTTTTCCTTGTTTTAACTTCCTTAAGTTTTTCCCCCTTCTGCAAGCTGCTGGGTGATGCTGTAAACCGTTCCGAGATTTTGCATTTATTCCTCACATTCTTTACATAGTTCGAGCGCTTTTGATTTTCTTGTTATATACCCTAACTAACGTCAGGGAAAACAGGATGAAGGCAGATCAAGCGAGCCACATTCCTTCTATGCTTGGCCGAACGAGCGAGAAAGTCAGTCTAATTCGGGGAATAATGTATCAGTTGGACAAGAATAAAATCGTGGCCGAACGCCACGGCTTTTTCCTAGCCAACTGACTCGCCATTTTCCCAAACAGATTGACTTACTCACTCTGGCCTTTGACCGAACTGGAGGAGGAAAAAAAGTGAGGTATATCGTATATAAAGAGGTATCATCGCGCTGGGGCGGGCAGTCCCAGCGCGATGAACGGCCTCACCAGTAGAACTAAGACAAAACCAAAAGGACGTAAGAAAGCCTGACTTGAGTACATTGCACATGCCTCGGAAGGTCATAGCACAACTACCAGACGCAATGGCGGATGGCCACAGCTGATCCTCGTTGCTCTATCTCCACGTGACTCCCAATTTCCTAGGCCCGGGAGATAAGGGGACACTTGGGCCGTAGAACGTTGAAGTCCGTTTCAGTCAGAATGGCTTTCATGTTACACTTACCTTGTCGCATTCAAGTCATATCAATTAGACGTTCTGTCGATGCCCGTTCATGTATTTAATGCGGAACAAGGGTCAAGTTCTAGTTGGATTTCATGAATTAGCATGAGGATAAACATATGATCTTTTTATCTTTTTATTGAGAATCATTTTATCTTTTGAGAATCAATAACTCTTTATAATATCTTTATAATAACTCTTTATAATATCGCGATCTGGTTTGGTTTGCAGTTAGCTCACATGACAAAGTTGCCGACAATGTTAAGGATCTTTCATAACTAACGTCCAGTTATTTCAAAAATGGAAAAAGAAAAAGAATTGTCGGAGAAAAATAACTTGCTCGCATCATTTTGGGAGTGGGTAGTACACGCATTCAAATAATGTCAAACTTCAATACAGGGTGTACCAAAATAAATAATTGTTCTTATTTATTTAACTTGACCAGGTACAAGCATGAAATAACATCGTGCATTCAAAGGAACACAGTAAGTTTCCCGTCGACATGTCGTAGTTAATTTCCTGGCCGCAGCAGCGCTGTCATCACCCCTAGTGTGAAATGACGTCTCAGCAGCAAAAAGCACGGTGTTATTTGCGGTTTCATGAATCAAAATCTGTGACTACAGTTCAACGTCACTTCCGAACAACATTTGGTGTTGATCCACCTGGCAAGAAGTCAATCAGACCTTGGTATGGTGACTTCTTGAATAAAGGCTGCATCTGTCAAGGTAAGAGCTCTGGCCGGCCGTCAACAAGTGAGCAACAAGTGGATCGAATCAGAGAAGCGTTCGTTCGAAGTCCACGCAAGTCAACGCGAAGAACCAGCACTGAAGTCGGAACTTTGGAACACGAAGTCGGCATACCAACGTCAGATTGACTTCTTGTCATGTGGATCAACACCAAATGTTGTTCGGACGTGACGCTGAACTGTGGTCACAGATTTAGTTTCATGGAACAACAAACAACACTGCTTTTTGCTGCTGAGAAGCCATTTTACAGTAGGGGTGATGACAGCGCTGCAGTGGCCAGGAAATGAACTATGTCATGAACCCTGTCATGAACCTATGTCATGAACTATGCCAGGAAATGAACTATGTCAAACATGTCAACGGGAAACTTGAAGTGATTCTTTGAATGCACGATGTTATTTCATCCATGTACCTGGTCCAGTTAATTAAATAAGGACAATTGTAATCGTGCCATTCATTTTGGTACACCCTGTATTCTTAATTCATCTTAATTTATTATTTATCTTCTTTAGCGTAGCATTCAAACTTTATTCATTGCATTCTGCTTCACCGCCTGGTTATGCATTCGATGCAGATCGAACGTCAAGTTCAAGTTGTACTAAATGAATGAGAATGGGCATGAAAAGCATGATGCCGCTGTTGTAAGCACAACATGCTGCTGGGGTGTATAAGATGCATTCCACAAATAGAGCAGAAAAAGGAAAGAGAGGACCTGGTCGATATGACATACGTATTGTACACGGTAAGAGTGTGGATTTGCTCCCCACCATCCCCACAAATGACCATAAATTAGAGAAGGAAAACGAATCAATCAACTTCCCTTGAATATCCATCAGAACAGCAGTTGCAGAAAATCCATTATTGATGAATGTCCATCGACCACCACGGAGGGCCACTCTAGGAAATCGAGAGGGCGAATAGTCGCCCACCCAAGTAATCCATAGTGAACATGTAACCAAAACTTCAAACTCTGACGTATATTCGTTAACGAGAAGAAAGTTGAGCTTCTGGAAGGTAACACTTTCGTGGTTTATAGCGCACTCATCTAGACGTTTCCTAAATAAAAAAGGGGAAGAAAAAGAGTCATTTTCCAACATCAATGGGAAATTTCATTTTTCTCTAAGGAAAGCAGGGAGCAACATGGTGAAATGGACCAATTTGAGTTGCTGTAAAAGTTTACCATTTGACCGATTTTACTAGAATGCTGAACTCGCAAACCGACCTGAAAAAAACAAACAAAATCTTGTAAGCCAGTTGACTAACGAGGTGTTTGCATACCAGGATAAGCTGAAGTTGAATGACACAGAACCGTCAGAAAAGGATTTATTCAGCTTTCCTTGCATTCGTGAACTGATCGCAGAAAGTGACGATGAGACTGTACGCAGAGAAAATCATATCATCTCTTCGGTAGCTCCGGACGGAAATAAATTCACGCTCCTGGGGCTTCGGGACACGTCGGCATACGTTATGCATATGTAAAATAAATATTTCGAAATTTTCTTGTAAGCTGAGGAAATTCAGTTGCCGACAAGTGTGTGGAGGAGGCATTCCGGCTTCACAAAGGAATCCAAGATCTGCACATACTGTTGCAAGAAAACATTGGAATCGCTTCGATTTCTCAATTACATTTCCTTTCTACTCGAAATAATGGCTGGAGATTCGTGTTTCTTTATCATTAGACTTGCCCTCATTTATTCCAGAGACTTTGGTGCTTCCTGATCACAGAATGCCTGCATGCATCAGTAATACCCGTACATGCAGGCCTTCTGTGATCAGGGTACCCATGGGATTTTTCGGTGTATCATTCTCACTCTCAACAAAGCTCACAAAACATTCGCATGCCACTCTCTTCTTAAAAAGAGATCGCAAGGACCGAACGACATAGTTTTACACTTTTTAATGCGCCTATCCTTAACCATAGGGTATGAGCCGCTGGCACCCCAGAAACGGAGATGATTTTTGTGAAGCAGGGCGTTCGCCGTCCACAGCAGTTCTCCAAACGGGGCAAAAGAGGGATGTCGTGCTCTTCGTTCCCTTAGTGTTCCATGAGGAAATACACACGAAATGAGCTTTCTCCTAAGGAATTTAAACTCTGTTTCTCGAAGTATTATCCTGCCTTCATGGTGGGGATAAGAGGGCTAGTGGAAACCCTCGTATAAGATATTCATGAAAGTAGCTCAGTGCGAAGAAGATGCAGTACACGTTTCACGACCATATTCCGAATTTTGACAGACATTTTCTACCTTTTGGCGATTGCTCACCTCAGCTGCTGCGTCACATTAGCAATATTGTGTCCTGTGATGGACATCACTTGTCGTGCGGCTGAATCCATCATCAATGGCCATTTGGAGTTGGAGGAAATAGTAGCCATGTCTTTTCCCAGAGAAGGTTTCTTGCAAAACATCTTAAAGACTTGCAGCGCCCTGGTGTTGGTTGCATTGACCCTTTGTTAGTTGTAAGGGTCGCAGGGACGAGCCATAGTTTCATTGTCAAAATCGAAGCGGCTTAGAAATCATGTGGGTCTAAGTGACAGAGGATGAGAAGCTTGTCTCTTTACTACTTGCGACTACGAGCACGTTCCAGGGCCGAACAATATCATACTGCCTATTGTTTTAAGCCTTTGACATGAAGGGTCAAAAGGGACACGGTTAAATGTTCTTGAAACATTCAAGGAAAGACGATTATTTCACATTTGGAATTCTATGAACTCATTCACCGCCATTCGTTCATGGAGTGTACTGTTCACGTGCGTTTCTTACGCATTGGAACACCAGTTTCAGAGGTTCTAGGCATTGGAGAAGTGATAGAATATCGAGGAAGAAGAAGACAGGGGAGATAGATGAACTCTGGCAGGAGGTTCCAGGAGAAACCTCCAATGGCTCGCCTCGAGATTATTGCTCCTTGTCCAATCCTTGGAGTCCATCATTTTGAGGAAAGTACGGCGTAGGAATCGATGACTTCAACGGAGAAAAGACCTTGGTCGTTACTCTCTGTCGAAAGAAACGCAAAAAAATGCCTCGCATACTTCATTCCCAGGAGGACTGAAATACGATTCCTTAGAACTGATTTCTTCCACCTCCCTATTCGAGACCCCTTACTGACGACGATCGGAACTGTAAACTAATTGATGCTCCACCTCAATAAGGCAAAGAACGTCGCAAACCAAGATTTGAGTTGCACTCAATTTTCACGCATCTAGTTTTCATGCAAAACTGCGACTTTGGTAAATTCTTATACTCCAAATCCTGTCTCATGATGCTCCACCTCAATAAGGCAAAGAACGTCGCAAACCAAGATTTGAGTTGCACTCAATTTTCACGCATCTAGTTTTCATGCAAAACTGCGACTTTGGTAAATTCTTATACTCCAAATCCTGTCTCAAAATTCTAAGCTATGATCGTTTCCAGTCGAAGCGACACACACCTTCGTGCTTAACGCTTAGTTTCTTTTAGCTAGACAGAGAGCGACAATTGGAACACTTTTGATGATCGGTTATTTATGGCACTCAATATCCATAGCGATGTCTCCATAAATGGTTACTTCCTAGTTCCTTTTTTCATATATTATTCCCAAAACCCCAGGAGAATTTAAGTTTTTAGGGGGGAAGAGGGCGGGAGACATTTTTAATTCGACAGAGGAAAAGATACATTAAAGCAAAAATGCAATTGGAATTTTTTTTTTCCTACATCTGTTGGCATCAATAGGAATTGCATGATCCGTCTTCCGATTCAATATCGAAATTTAATTTTACTTCGTGAAATTCTGAAAGTCCTCTGACACGCATGCAAATTATTTTACGTCGAACACGATTTTTCTCCTCATTCAAATAATAGATTCCAGTAGTCCGCAAAATACCACATTTTCAGGTCACAATTTGAATAGGAGGCCTACATGTGGAAGTAGCTATGGTGATGAGCTTCCTTGCGGAGTCCGTGAGAACACATGTGGCGACGAACCTTACAGATGTGAAAATGAAGGATGCACTTCATGAAAATGGGACTGCAACGTTTATGCAGTGAATAGTCAGCATCAACACAGGACAGATGTAAATGCAGTGTGGAACCTTTCGCCTCGATAGTCTCTGGAAGAAACGGGTAGTTCAGATGCCCTGCACCGGCTCCTGAGTGTGCTGAATAGCACGAGCCTGGGAGGCTTAATACATGACAGCGGGCGGGATGCATTGTGCTTTACGATGCCGCTCTCCCCTGATTAGCCCCGCCTCAACTCAAGTCTCCTCGTCCATCCTGAAGATGACGAGACGAGACGTAAACTCCAATTTACGAAGGATGTTTCTTCAAAGGAAGAAAAACTTCTCTCCTTATGTCTAAGCGTTTGGACTGTAGAGCAGTCACACACAAACGCATATACAGTATATGTCGCTCAGCCAAGCTAGCGGCCAGGATCGCGCACGCTATATGTTTAAACTCCAGTCCTCCGGTTTGAACAAGTACAATATTCCATAACGAAGTATGCACTAAGTATTATATCATGCTAATCCTGATTTTTATATCTTGTCGTACCCATCCTCTGCGCGGGGATGTGCATGATGTAGACCTATCTGAGAGGATGGGTCTCGAGACTAATAGGCAGCTTCCCAACTTGGGGAAGGAGATGCGCATTATTATAACCATAGGAAGAGTTTCGAGTTAAATGATGAGAAACCCATCCTGCGAGGATGGCTATGTGCTTGCCTACGTACAGGATGGGCAGGTGGCCATTTGGTCCGAAACCCATCCAGTCGTTGTGAGAGAGCGGAGGAAACACTATTGGTTCCCGCATACAGAGAAGTCAACCCATCTGAATACAAATGCAAGCCGTATAATACGTGTAATATACTAAAGCGTTTTCTAGTTCCTGCACCGATAGCCTCTGGGCTTTCACCTTTCCAGGTCATAGGCTAGGCCCATTTCCTGGTTCTCCTAGTCGATAGGCCCGCATGCCTTCTCCTTTCCAATTCATTGGCTGAGCGCGTTTCATCGTTCGTCCATGCAGCTATCAGGTCTACAAGCCTGTGCCTTTCTAGAACATAAACTGAGTAGGATTTATTTATTATTAAAGTAATTAGATTTCGACGCGACGTGAACGCGGAAGGGAAGCAGCTACGACAGCATTGATCAGGGAGCAATACGATGATGTCAATACCGATGGAATATGTGAATGGAGGCAAGGTAATACCACGTTAACTGCAGAGCAAGACAAGTCTGTTAGCGCTGCGCAGAGAGGATCGCGCGTACGCCTGGAACAGTCAAGTTGCACTCGAGCTGCGTTGGCAGGGACGCCCAACATCATTCCATGAGATTCGCTCGATTTCGGCCCTATGAATGTGGAATACTCTGTTGAACACTGCCTGGCTCTCCATTTGAAAACGGAGAAAGGTTAACTTCTGCCAAGTTGCTGTCTCGATCGGGATGCGGTGTTCCATTCGAGCCCACTGAAAAGCACCCATTTTCCCGCGAGTTCATCAGGCAGTACAACAACGCAAACGCATTAACTTCCTTCGGTGGAACGATTGCTGACATTCCCGGTCACAGTTCCTATTGCTTAAATATCTCCGGCGAGGTCATGGTCATTTGGCTACGACATGCTTACTACCTTTTGATAATGTCGAATCCGTCGATAACTCCTTGTTTACGATGCGAATGTAGTGATTCAAATGCAGCAGCACATTAAAATTCGGAACGGGAAGTGCATCGCTGTTTCTTCATTGATGAAGCAGGTGGCACTAGCAAAACATTCCTGAATATCGCGCTCATTCACATGATGCAAAGAAATGGATTGCATGTTTTCAGCGTTGCGTGTCGACAGTTATTTCTACAATGTTGCTGCCTGGTGGCGTGGCACCTCACACGGCCTTCGAATTCGCATGGGATCTGCTCACGCATGAAATGTGTCATTTATCGCACAAATATCAAACGATGATTCGAGCTACCGGCATAATCATTTAGGATGAAGCGGCGATGGGACCCACTGCCGCGCTGGCAACGGTCGAACGAGCGTTGCGAGGCACAGTGGATGATGACCGATTAGGCGGAAAAGCAATTATGCTCGGTGGAGACTTTCGCCAGGTGTTGCCAATCTAACGGAAAGTATTTCGCAGTCAAATCGTCAATACTTGCATCAAAATGAACCCGTTGTGGTCATCGTTAAGGACAATTCGGTTGACAGAAAACATGCGTGCTACAACAAATGAATATTTTTTGCTCATTGATCCCTCGACCTGGCAATTGAATGTTTTCGAAAATACATTGCTGTCGAATTGAGATCTCCGTGCATTTACTAGACGATTGTGTCTTCGATAATTTAGTTAAGAAGCCAGTTGGACGACGGCATAGGGTCTGCGATGCTGAAGCGAGCAACAAGTGTGCCATTCTATGCTTCAAGAATGAGTAATCCTATACGGTCGATGCTGCCGTGTCGTATCAATTGGAATGAGAAACCTCTTCTGACTTCTTGCTTTATCGATACTGGTGACGATCCTGTTGATGATGCAGATAAGCAGATCGACATTCCGGTTGAATTTCTCAACATGTTCGATACTCCGGATCTACCTCCCCACACTTTAAACCTTAAAATAGGAACCATTATGATGCAGGGAAGCGAACCTAACTTCTATTTTAACCCGTAAAGCCGCATACGATTCTAGGTGTGCATTCATATTCACATTTTCCATGTGCCGCATTTCTAAGCTCTCTTTTTCTGTTTCGCTCGGAGGAAAGTTGGAATGAGGGATCGATCACTTGAGCACAGGAAAGAAAGAGAGTCGTCATTGCTCACTGTCGACCAGAGAGCAAGGAAACGCCTCTGAATTTAAATAACATAAGACTTCAAGATTCTTAGTTTTTCGCGCTTCTTTCGAATGAGGATGGCCAAGAGAGAAAGGGAGAACTTGGGTCGCAAGATGTCACGTCCCGGCTCAAGCAAACCCGTTTCTGGGTTACATGTAGCATTGAAACTTTATTCATTGGATGCTGCATCAACGCCCGGTTATGCATTCGATGCGGATCAAACGTCAAGTTCATGTTGTACTTGATTAATGAGCATGTGCTTGAAATGCATGATCCACGCTGCAGTAAGCACAGAATGCTGCAGGAGAAGGAGAGAAGAATGTCACAGAAAGAACAGGAAAAGGAACGAGATGACCAGGTCGATATGATGTACGTACACGGTAAGAGTGTGCCTTTGCTCCCCACCATCCCCACAAAGGACTATAAATTAGAGAAGGAAAATCCATCAATCATCTTCCCTTGGATATCCATCAGAACAGTATTCGTGAAATAAAAAGTAAAAATCAATATCAGTCGACCACCATGGAGTTGGTGTCAATAAAGTCGATGTAAAGGACGAAGAGTCGCCCACCCAAGTAATCAACAGCAAAAACGTCACAAAACGTCACACTAGGTTGTGTACTCGTCGACGAGAAAGAAATCTCCCCAAATGGTGCGCTTTTGAATGACAGCACTACTGCGGTTCGTGAAGCATTCTTCCAGAAGTTTTTTTATTATTTTTTTTTCCAACATCGCTGTTGTAAAAGACGCGCTGTAACAGACGCGCTGTTGTAAAAGTTTCATATTTTACCGATTTGACTGGAATGCTTGAATTGCTCGGAAACCGATCAGCAGATGGATCAGAAGCTTGAAATCTGCATGACTAGTGAGGCGTTTGCATACCGGGAAAAGACGGAGGTGAATGAAACAGAACAGGCAGAATGTGATTTCTTGCGCTTTTCAAAAACTGAAGGCCGAAAATGCTGACGATCCTTTTTTGCCGAGGAAATTATCTGATCTTCTTCCGTATCTTCGGCCAGAAATAACTTCACTCGCCTAGGGCATCGGGACACTTTGGCGTGGGTTCAGCATAATTAAGAACGCGCGAGTATCAGTTTTAATATACCTATAACTTCTTTTTCAAATAATGGATCCCTGTCAGACGCAACAAGGGATTAATATTGTTCACTGCTAGACCAAATTTCTCAATGTAATAATTTTATTTCTCTTTTAAGTTTTTATACCTTACCCTGTCGCGGATTCGAATGGTAAGGCAGATCCGACCAGACAGAAGTTGCAACACTTCCTGATGAAAGGGAGAAAAAGGCGTAGGAAATATTAGAACAGAATGGGAAGAGATTCCCGCAACTCCTTTTCATACTTCAGGAAGAATAAGCAGAATCAATTCCTCCTTCCCCCTCTCTGCTTACCGTAACAGTACGCCAGTCATGCGCGTCTAGGGAAAAGGAGTAGGAAAGTTCGTGTGAAGGACAAAGAGGCGAAAAAGAAGGACGACTCCGTTCTTCACACCAGTAGTCTACAAACTCCACCACTTCATTTCCATAAGGTTTTGCATTCATAGATGAAAACTGGGAGAACTAAATAGGGAAACATGGGTGTTGTTCCCTTACTGCTCCGAAGCCAGGCGTGGGGCGAACAAATCCAGGACCGTTACCAGGCATCGCATATTATTCAAACTATATTGACTGAAAAGCAACTCATTAATCAACGTTCTCTGAGTTACATTCAGAACAGCATATACGAAAAACAGATCAATGTTACTAGGCCACCAAGGTGGGCGTTGACGTCAATGCAGCTCATCAGAAGGTTCTAACATCGACCCGCTCACTCTCACCTAAGTCATCCTCCTCTGCCCAGAGGAATAGCTTTAGGAATGGAACCTCGTCGATCCCTGGAAGACATACTGAGGATAAGTCTTGGGTTCTTACTTTTATCACGAGGCGTAGCCTGCGTCGAATTGATCCCATACCTCGGCGTGCATCCTGGGCAGAGATACGAGAACGTGACCTCCGAATCTCAGGAACTGTCCCTGGGAACGTGCACCATTAATTGCGTGATGCAGGAGCCCATTCCCTGCTACGCCTTCAACTATCGGGAGACCGATCGCTCCTGCCAATTGATTCTCAACAGGACGAGTGAGCTTGTGGACGCGAATGGATACTGGTCCTACGCCCAGTGTGAGTTGATATTTTCTTATTTTCATTTCAACATATTTGGAAACGTTGATTCTCAACAGGACGAGTGAGCTTGTGGACGCGAATGGATACTGGTCCTACGCCCAGTGTGAGTTGATATTTTCTTATTTTTATTTCAACATATTTGGAAACGTAATCGTTACCACATATTCTCCATAATACAGGGTTGTGTTTGAGAGAGTATCCGACGATCGAAAATGCAATAGTGTCCTTCGAGGGATGGAATGGAACGTACCCTGCCCCAGCACGGGGGATAGTCAAGTTCCGCTGCGAACATCCAAAAGGATTCTCAGATGGAGCTCTTCTTCACACGGCTGAATGCGCCCCTTTGAATCCGGATTCTTGGTGCATCTCTTTCCGGGAAGGTGCAGTACAATGTGAGAGCATATAATCATAAAATTATTAACCTCTTCTTTCAGCTCCCTGTTCACCTTTTCAGTTGTACTCAACTTGCCGCTTCGAAATTGAATTAGGAGAACACAGTGTAAACGTAAATTGTGCGATTCTTTCGCACGCACGTCCTCTGACGAGATCCAATCCTTTAGACTCATATTGGTTGAAATAAAATATGATTAAATCAATGCTGTCTATACACTCGAAGTGATTCTGTGGTGGACAAGTGTTGTGCCGAAATAAAAATGAGAAAAAATGACATTCTAGTTTCCTAGATGTGGAGTCGAAGGGAAACCATGAGTACAAAAACAAAGATTGTTTCCCTGCGTTTCAAGAAGAATTTCGAATGGTTTATTAGAGAGACATCAGGGGAGGTGTTATCCGTTGCTGCTATTTCTAACATCGCCCAATTCGAATCTATTTTTTCCTGATGAAACTAGACGAAAAGTACCACCACCAATGATAACTTGAAATTCTAATCATGACCATACGGTTTTATTCAACGATCGTCTAGTATGGCATTGAATTTCAATATATATTCATGGTAGTAAGCATGCATTAAGGTGCATAGCCCCTTATAGCTCATAGCCCCTCTGGTGAGACAAATTTATAGGAGCATGTCACTGGAAATTTCTAGAGACATTTTTCGAGAAGCATCTGTGAGATGAAGAAAGGTCAATATACAGCAGTGAAAACGGCAAGTCTGGTAAAAGTTCTTCAGTTGGGAGAAAATGCCTTTGTAACGACTGACAACGACGGAGTTAATTGCCCCTCAAATGCATAACCCTTAAACTTATAACGAGAGGATTTTCTTTTGTTTTTCGTTCCCGGCATTAAATATATTCTGGAAGATGTATATGTTGCATCAGGTCAATTATGAAGAACTATTTTCGAGAAAATGTCCACTTCCTAAAAGTTCATTTGAAAGGGAATTATCATATCTTCACTTGCGTGAGTGATGCATTAACTTTCTTCACTCGCTGACTGCTGTGTTCCTTAAGGCCGATATCACTCACTAGCGAATTTGTTTGCCCTTCGGGCAAACAAACTCGCTTTGGTCGCGCCTTCGGCGCTCCATTACCTTGGATATTGATTCATTCATCCATTTTTTGCGAAATTGGAAGCACATATTTAAAGTACATCCCCATTAAAATACCTGACATATGGGGCAAAATTCTTGATTTTTATCAAAATCATTTCTTCCATAATTTCTAGTGTGCCTAACTTGAAATCTCTTGTGTCTCTTTTTGTAAGCGTGGAGAATACATTTTGAAATACATCCCTTCTATAATCTACGCTAAGGAAACATATTTCAAAAGTAGGATTTTTCCTGTACTCAGCCATCAAACAGGTACTTCTGAGGTAAGTTTACAATTTCTGTCTCTATTTCGCTGGATGAAAAAGATTTCAGGAAAATGGGACTGAAAAAATGTGATCTGATGGATTTTTAACGAAATTTTTTTCTTCTAAAATGAAGACTCAGGGAAACCCATGCCAACCAGTTTCAGCCTCATACGTTTCCCCTCTTTTTGCTGACGGGAAAAAAATGTATTTGGAATAGCGACCCAACCAAAAACTGTGCTGAGGAGATGCGCAACAAAAGTTGAATTTTTCCCTAAATCGACATCACTTCCGTTATGCGTGCGCCAGCTGCTATTTTACTATTTCTGCCCGATTCAGTAGAATATGAAAAGTTATTTTAGAATGTTACATCCTCAAGAAATATGAACCTCAAAACTATTTTGGAAATTTGACGTTTGACATTTGAGCTTGGTGCGTCAACGGTCACGTTCTTGCCTAGTTTCATATTTCCATGTGTCTCCGTTTGAAGCAAAGAGAACTATTTGAAAACATGTTCCCCGATAGGTGCGTCCCTATGGCATGCCTCACCAAAGTAGAACTTTTCCTGAACTCAGCATGCGAATAGCTACTTATGTCAGTCAGTCACCTACTCACGATCGTCCATATATAGTAAAAGTATAATTTTTTCTTTACGCAGCCATCCATCAGGCCATCATTTGCCAAGTTTAACTTTCATGCGCCTTCTGTTTTGCTGAATCTGAAAATTCGTGAAAATACGCCTTTTTGCAAAATATGTGACATGAGCCGTTTTAACCGAAACGTACCATTTTTTTTACCGAAATCCATCCTCAGTGAACTACATGCCCACAACGTTTCAATATTATATGTTTGCCTTTTTCTCTGGTGATAAGCATGTTAGGAAATGCCGACCCTCCCAAACGTTATTCCCGGAAGGGATCCACCATGAAAGCTGAATTACTCCTCAGCTCAGTAATGTCATGTCACTTATACGTGTGCCAAGTTTCACCTTTCCATTTCTGTCCAATTCCCCGCGACAATTTTTTTTCCAAAACATCGCACCTCGAAAAAAAATCCCCCAGGAGATGTATCGAGACGTAACATTTTTATTTAACTCCTTGTCTCAGTAGTCACATTCATGTAAAGTTTCAGCTTTCCATGTTCAACAGTTTATCTGATGCAAAAAATCAGTTGAAAACATATCCCTTTGAGATTTGTGCCCCCAGGGCATTTGCTTCCAAAGTCTAAATTTTTCTGCAGCATCCCAATCGGTAGTTATGAACCAAGTTTCACCTTTCCACACTAGCTTAATACCCCAGGACAAAAATAATACTTGAAAACGTCGGCCCCAAAAAATATCCTCGAGGGCATGGATCTAAAATTTTGCATTTTTCCTGAACTCATCGTCTCGGTAGGCACGTCCATGCCAGGTTTCAGCTTTCCATGTCTCTCCGTTTTATTCAAGTAGGGCATGGAACTAAAAGTTTGCATTTTTCCTGAACTCATCGTCTCGGTAGGCACGTCCATGCCAGGTTTCAGCTTTCCATGTCTCTCCGTTTTATTCAAGCAAAAATAATGTCATAGATGGGGGATGAGTAGGACATGGAAGGCAAGAGAAGCCAAAGAAAAAGCCATGGAATGACCGGGAATTGAACCCGGGCCTCCCGATTGCCAGTCAGGTGTGCTACTCCTACCCCGAAACCAGGACAACCAGTCGTGCCTCTCGATGACATCCTCATCCGTCACAATATATATTTTTTAAAATTTCCCCCCCCCCCTAAATGTGTACCTCCAGGGCGTGTACCTCCAAAATCGGATTTTTTTCGGAACTCTGCATCCGAAAAGGTACATGTGTACCATGTTTCACATTTCTAACCTTTCTAGAACATCGTTAGAATTAGCGTCAGTTAGTCACGATCGTCTACATACAGGGTGACCCATTTGAAAAGTTTACCAATGAATGGCCATGTACAAAGAAACCACTGGACAGAAGAAGCTGAAACTTGGCATGTAAACAGTTTGAAGTACGGGCTTCTCAAATCCGTAGAAAAATAAAAAATAATAAATTAGAGAGTCAAAAGATGGCACCACCAGCGTATGTCACATGGTCAATTGTAAAGCCAACCACTGGATAGATGAAGTTGAAACTTGGCATGTGAACTATTGGCAGCATGGGCTTCTAAGGATGTGACAAACAAGCATGGTGATGCACAAGTTTTACAGCGATCTGACTAGAGTGGCTGCTTGATGTGGGTTCCGTGCTGAACGACGACGGCTTCTAGGTGGGGTAGGATATTTCCAGCTACAGCTGAGTGCATTTCCTTCGGGATCATGGCGATCTCATGCCGTTTGGCAGTCTTCAAATTCAACCAATGTGGTGGGACCATGACGATAAACACGGGACTTCAGGTATCCCCACAACCAAAAATCGGCTGGTATGAGGTCGGGAGATCGAGCAAGCCATTTAATTGGGAAGTGTCTGCTGATTATGCGATCTCAGAAATGTTGTTGGAGAAGAGCTTTAACGTTTCTGGAAATATGAGGAGGGGCACAGTCCTGCATGAACACAACTTCATCCAGAACGTTTCACTGCTGCATGTCCGTGATTATGTGCTGCTCAAATAACCGCCTGTAGCGCTCTCCTGGTACAGTGACGGTTTTGAATTCGCGCTTTGTGGGTTCTTCGAAAAAGAAGGGGCCCAACAGGAAGTCCTGTGTGAATCCACACCACACTGTGACTTTGTCATCGTGGAGAGGCTCTTGGACGATGGCGCGGGGATTCTCCTCTGCCCAGATAACACAGTTTTTGGTGTGGACCGTGCTATGGAGAGTGAAGTGGGCATCATCACTGCAAAGGATGCTTCCAAACCACGTTTCATCAATGTCCACATGTGCAAGGAGCTCCAGTGCAAAGTTGTAACGACTCTCCATGTCGGGAGCTGACAAAGCCTGAACTCGATGAATCCGATTTGGAAACAGCCGAAGCGCAATTTTCATCGTTCTCCGAACTGTTTCTACCGGCATTCTAGTGCGACGTGCAACAGCCCTAGCACTGACTATACCAACATGCGATGTCGCGCTTTCTTCATCTACAGTCGATGCCACTTCAGCAGCCATGTCTTCGGAAACCCTACGGCATCTTCTCTTCTTCAAATTGGCCACAGATCCTGTCTTTTCAAATTTTTGTCCCAAGCTTTCCCAACGCTGCTCGTGAGCATGGACCTTGGCGCATGTTGTGGCTTCGACGGTACGACATTAAGGCGGCCTCTGCATTCCTCCCATTTTCGTAAAATTTCTATATCAGTTCGATCCCCGTAGGGGGCACTAACATGTTGACTTGAACTGGTTAGGTTCCGTACTCTTCCAGTCCGTGGTCATCCATTGATCGTTTATACCGTTCGCTGGGCAACGTGACACGTGGTGCCATCTTTTGACGCTTTTATTTTTTCTTTTTTATGTTTTATTTTTCTTTAGTTACTTTTAGTTTTTAATTTATAATTTATTATTTTTTTATTTTTTACTTTTTGCTTCTTTTTTTTCTATGGATTCGAGAAGCCCACACTTCAAACTGTTTACATGCAAAGTTTCAGCTTCTTCTGTCCAGTGGTTTCTTTTGTACTTGGCCATTCATCGGTAAACTTTCCAAATGGGTCACCCTGTATATCACTCATGTCACAGAAAAATTATATCGAAGAGTTTTGCAAAGAAAAGAAAAAAATGACTATCTTGAGATGCTCATTCTTTTATGGTTAAAACATTTCTTTAATTTCTATCCACAAACAGTATCTCAACGATTTATGTTTTGAGGATGTTCAAAGAGAAAACATTTAAAATATCAGTGATACCTTCATCCTTCAATCATTCCATCCGCATTTTCTCATTCATTATCGTTCTAATATTGCAGGCGAGAAAGTGCATATATATCCAGAATGTCGTCTGACGGAAAGCGGCGAAGAATATGTTGGAAAAGTGAGTGTGACGGAATCAGGAATGAAATGTCTCAAATGGAGAGACTATCCCGATGGAACGGGGGATGACTACCAGGGCGGCCCACATCTTAACTTCACGACCTCTGACCCCTCTGGAACACCAATCATCAACCTCCGTGAAGAGCGCTACTTCCTTAATCGGGACTCCTGGTCTCACCACAACTACTGCCGGAATCCATACTGGGGGAAAAGACCCTGGTGCTACGTTTCTAACCGTAACATCACATGGGAATACTGTAACATCCCCATGTGCACTAACACAGGTAAAATATTGCTGTATTTTTCACGTATTTTTAGGGTGAATAATTGACAAAGTTACGTGTTTTCGCATGAGGGAATGAATGAATCAGGTAAGAATAAGATGATCCGTAGTATGCTAGTTAATAACCAATTTTATGTCGTAACACCAACATATTCATTGCATATGTTTCCCGTGTTCCATGTAGAACAAAATGTTTTCTTTTTCATTGAAATTCATGTTATTTTCACNNNNGTGTACCATGTTTCACATTTCTAACCTTTCTAGAACATCGTTAGAATTAGCGTCAGTTAGTCACGATCGTCTATATACAGGGTGACCCATTTGAAAAGTTTACCAATGAATGGCCATGTACAGAAGAAACCACTGGACAGAAGAAGCTGAAACTTGGCATGTAAACAGTTTGAAGTATGGGCTTCTCGAATCCGTAGAAAAATAAAAAAGAAAAAATTAGAGTCAAAAGATGGCACCGCCAGTGTACGTCACATGGTCAATTGCAAAGCCAACCACTCTACAGAAGAAGCTGAAACTTGGCATGTGAACTATTGGCAGCATGGGCTTCTAAGGATGTGACAAGCAAGCATGGTGATGCACAAGTTTTACAGCGATCTGACTAGAGCTGCTGCTTGATGTGGGCTCCGTACTGAACGACGACGGCTTCTAGGTGGGATAGGAAATTTCCAGCTGCAGCTGAGTGCATTTCCTTCGGGATCATGGCGATCTCATGCCGTATGGCAGTCTTCAAATTCAACCAACGTGGTGGGACCATGACGATAAACACGGGACTTCAGGTATCCCCACAACCAAGAATCGGCTGGTGTGAGGTCGGGAGATCGAGCAAGCCATCTAATTGGGAAGTGTCTGCTGATTATGCGATCTCAGAAATTTTGTTGGTGCAGAGCTTTAACGTTTCTGGAAATATGAGGAGGGGCACAGTCCTGCATGAGCACAACTTCATCCAGAACGTTTCGCTGCTCCAGGTCCGTGAATACGTGCTGCTCAAATAACCGCCTGTAGCGCTCTCCTGTTACAGTGACGGTTTTGAATTCGCGCTGTGTGGGTTCTTCGAAGAAGAAGGGGCCCAACAGGAAGTCCTGTGTGAATCCACACCACACGGTGACTTTGTCATCGTGGAGAGGCTCTTGGACGATGGCGCGGGGATTCTCCTCTGCCCAGATAACACAGTTTTTGGTGTGGACCGTGCCATGGAGAGCGAAGTGGGCATCATCACTCCAAAGGATGCTTCCAAACCACGTTTCATCAATGTCCACATGTGCAAGGCGCTCCAGTGCAAAGTTGTAACGACTCTCCATGTCGGGAGCTGACAAAGCTCCCGACATGGAGGGTCGATTCGAGAGTCGACTCGATGAATCCGATATGGAAACAGCCGAAGCGCAATTTTCATCGTCCTCCGAACTGTTTCTACCGGCATTCTAGTGCAACGACGTGCAACAGCCCTAGCACTGACAATACCAACATGCGATGTTTCTTTTCTTCATCTACAGTCGATGCCACTTCAGCAGCCATGTCTTCGGAAACCCTACGGCTTCTTCTCTTCTTCAAATTGGCCACAGATCCTGTCTTTTCAAATTTTTGTCCCAAGCTTTCCCAACGCTGCTCGTGAGCATGGACCTTGGCGCATGTTGTGGCTTCGACGGTACGACATTAAGGCGGCCTCTGCATTCCTCCCATTTTCGTAAAACTTCTATATCAGTTCGATCCCCGTAGGGAGCACTAACATGTTGACTTGAACTGGTTAGGTTCCGTACTCTTCCAGTCCGTGGTCATCCATTGATCGTTTATACCGTTCGCTGGGCAACGTGACACGTGGTGCCATCTTTTGACGCTTTTATTTTTTCTTTTTTATGTTTTATTTTTCTTTAGTTACTTTTAGTTTTTAATTTATAATTTATTATTTTTTTATTTTTTACTTTTTGCTTCTTTTTTTTCTATGGATTCGAGAAGCCCACACTTCAAACTGTTTACATGCAAAGTTTCAGCTTCTTCTGTCCAGTGGTTTCTTTTGTACTTGGCCATTCATCGGTAAACTTTCCAAATGGGTCACCCTGTATATCACTCATGTCACAGAAAAATTATATCGAAGAGTTTTGCAAAGAAAAGAAAAAAATGACTATCTTGAGATGCTCATTCTTTTATGGTTAAAACATTTCTTTAATTTCTATCCACAAACAGTATCTCAACGATTTATGTTTTGAGGATGTTCAAAGAGAAAACATTTAAAATATCAGTGATACCTTCATCCTTCAATCATTCCATCCGCATTTTCTCATTCATTATCGTTCTAATATTGCAGGCGAGAAAGTGCATATATATCCAGAATGTCGTCTGACGGAAAGCGGCGAAGAATATGTTGGAAAAGTGAGTGTGACGGAATCAGGAATGAAATGTCTCAAATGGAGAGACTATCCCGATGGAACGGGGGATGACTACCAGGGCGGCCCACATCTTAACTTCACGACCTCTGACCCCTCTGGAACACCAATCATCAACCTCCGTGAAGAGCGCTACTTCCTTAATCGGGACTCCTGGTCTCACCACAACTACTGCCGGAATCCATACTGGGGGAAAAGACCCTGGTGCTACGTTTTTCTGACCCCTCTGGAGCACCAATCATCAACGTCCGTGAAGAGCGCTACTTCCTTAATCGGGACTCCTGGTCTCACCACAACTACTGCCGGAATCCATACTGGGGGAAAAGACCCTGGTGCTACGTTTCCAACCGTAACATCACATGGGAATACTGTAACATCCCCATATGCACTAACACAGGTATAATATTGCTGTATTTTTCACGTATTTTTAGGGTGAATAATTGACAAAGTTACGTGTTTTCGCATGAGGGAATGAATGAATCAGGTAAGAATAAGATGATCCGTAGTATGCTGGTTAATAACCAATTTTATGTCGTAACACCAACATATTCATTGCATATGTTTCCCGTGTTCCATGTAGAACAAAATGTTTTCTTTTTCATTGAAATTCATGTTATTTTCACAATATCAGCCTTTAAAAATCTGGAATCAAAATGTTCCAAACTAGCCAAACTGATAAATGACATTTATGCTCCATGAAGTTAGTCCAGAAACATGCGTTTTCAACTCATTCTTATGAATTCTTCCAGATATTATTGGCTCATATGTGATTGTTGGCATGATTAGCGAATCCATTTTTCTTGCCCTCTATAGGACAAGGAACGATTTACAGACGTTATGTTCTTTGGAGGCAATTTTGACCTCTGCCCTCTCCAAAGTTAACTCTTGTGACTTGCCTATTGTTGCTGCTAAGGGTAGAGAGAGTGGAAACGCGATTTTCCAGGTTACTTGACCACCTTTGTAACAACTCGGTGAGTGCGGTATGCCTTTCTATACGCATTTCCTTCCAATTGTTGCGCGTATCTACCAGAAGCTTCTGCTTCGTATCATCTTCTCTCGTTCTCTTTTTTGCTCCTGGCTTGGCATTACAAATCTGGAAACGGCTCTTATTGTCTATTCCCGACCAAAATTCTCTGGTATGGAATCCCCCTCACACTTTTATTTTGGGTAGCCATAAAGTGATTACCTGGAATTGACACGTGAGTGCCACCCTTTTGGGAAAGAATGCGCAGAGTTGTCAGATTCTGTAGGAATCCTCCCATGGCCGCCACGGCATCCGCAGGACACTCA